GAGTAAACAAGAGAACAAATCTAGGAGAAAAAACAAATTCGACTTGAACCTCAATTCCACCCCTCATTATGGATGGAAATAGACACTTAGTGAGCACCTGCTCTGTGTTGGAAACTTCACATAAACTCATTCAGTTGTTAAAATAAACCAGAAGAGTTGAAGGAACAAAAAGTGTCCCTTATTTAGCTGATGCACAGCAGGGAAGAAAGCCTCTGAAGCAACTGTTTCAAAGCAATTAAGGAGACAAGGGTTTTTTTAATAGGGTTTGTTTCAAGTATTGTGCAAGCAAGCAGGTTGACTTGGTTGAACTTTATTCTGTGACAACAGCAAACTCTGCATGCGCGCTCCACGCTTGGTGTGTGTTTATCAAGCAGTGTGGTAGCTACTCTCAACCTAAAATAGTATGCGGCATATTGGTCGTGACTCTCTGGAAATCGGCTGTCAGTTCTGTTTTCCAGAAGGCAAAGGTGTCAGTTATTTTTGAGCAATGCGCTGCGAGACCACCCGATGGAAGAGAGAGAGCAACTCTTTAACTGTGGTTCTACTTACTGAACTTCTGAACGTTTATTAGAATGTGGTCAATTATTAGACAACTTTATCAGAAAAGACATGTTTCTCACTTAGCCTCCTCATCCTTTTTTGTCTTTCCCTGTGATTCAGGAGGAAGGACGCTGGCTTCTTATCCTACAAAGATCACCTGCCCGTGAGCCAGGTGGTGGTTGGAGATACCGACCGGCAAGGCTCGGAAGCCAAGCTGAGCGTGGGTCCCCTGCGCTGCCAAGGAGACAGTAAGTGTGCCCAGCAGCTGTGGCTGGCACTTTCTTATCAGTTTTAAATAGTGTTTCCCAGCCAATCAGAGGATGGCAGAAAACAGACTTGCTCTTCTGTAACTCCTAAAGAAACGTCATGGGATGCAAACAGAGCCACATGAAGAGCTAGATAGACCTTAACACAGAGAAGGGCAACAGCCATACAGTCTCCAGTACGGGAGCCTAGATTTGGGCATAAAATGTGGATATCCGTCTTCTTTGTATATTCATATGTTACAAGTTTGACTACCTAAGTTTATGGTGATATAAATAGCCATGCTAATAGCATAAAAGTGGCACTCAACAGCTGTGATTCCACTGAGTGCTGCTGTTAATGCCATTAGCATGACTATTTATATCACCATAAGCATTATGGTTTAATGTATCATTGTAAACTTGGATTATGGTCATATAAAGTTTGACATTATTGCTATCAAATTTCATCATCATCAGAGCTTGATGGTCCCTTGTAAGTCAAAGATTGTTTCTGTAAGTACGTCTTGCTTTCAGGATTTGGCACCACAGAGAGGAATTTGGGGCTGCTCGCCTGGACGGTGGGATGTCAGGGATTAGAGTGATGTTCCCACCTAATTAAGGGCACCATTAGGATTTTATGTTGTTTGATGCCCTTCAGTGTGCTTTATGTGCTGTTGGAGGGAAACCGTGACAGGTTGCTATGGGAATTCTGCAATGAGCATCCTGGGTGTCATTTCCCCTCTTCTTGTCTGTGCATGTGATTTGGGCAACTCCCCTGGGAGTTCTATGCTTTTTGTGATTGTGTGCTAGGCATCAGGAGACCTAGATTCTGTTCCCCGAATAAATGACTTGCCAGAAGACCTCAGGCAAACCCCGCCATTTTCTCGGCTGTGGTAATGAGAATACCACCTGCGTCCCAATGCCTCCTGGGGAGGCCATAAAGATTTTAGTGCCTAGATCAGGATTCCTCCTAGCAAAGCATTCTGTGAGATGGAATATTATTACCATTTCCATAAATCAAGGGAGAATTAGACCTACTCAATGGGATAAATTACTGCATCCACTCAAAGAGGTGTCCTAAGGAATGTAACGATGCATGCTTAACTGTTTACTACTTAGTAAATCGAGGCTGTTTGCAATTAAGCAGTACAATGTTCCCAATACAAAAGAAAGATGGAGTTTGTACTGATTTTCCTCTTCTTACATGGAGAAAATGAAAATGCTACCTTTAAAATTGAGACTGGTCAAAAGGCCTTATCATGCATTTGTTAAACAATAATACTTCATTTGTCTAGTCAGGTTTAGTAGAATGGTACAATAAGAAATTTAGTTTCAACTGCTGAAGAAAAAGATATTGACAAAAAATAATAGTAAACATGCGTTTTTAAATAAGTGTTTTGAGAGATGGACTATAATGTCACTCTCAAAATGGGCAGGTTCTCATGTATTGTCTAATGAAAATCAGTTTCATTATGTCGTAATTACTCATTAATATACAAAGGTAAAATATTTCTCGCTTATCAACTCTAATTCTGAAGTTATCTTTGAGTTAGAGAAAGGGTTCTGACTAAGCAATTAAAAAATCCCACTTCTGGAAACTTTCATTCCCATTCTTAAAGAGAAGGTTCCTGCTGTGTAGGAGTGTATTAACCATTTATAGCTAATAGTAGCTTGTTTTCTCTTAATGAATAAATCAGTCCTCAGGAAGAATTTATTATGTGTCTGTTATTTGTCTAGCACTTTACTAGGTACTCTGGGGAATAAGAAAAAGAAGTTCAAACCATGTTTTGAGAAATGCACATGAAGAAATATTGGAAAACACAAAATGTTTTATAATTTAATGTTAGATTTTGTGATATAAAATTATTGCAACTGATGCTCAAGAAAGGAGTGATAGATAGTATATTTCAGGCAGACTTTATATTTAAAAAGAGCAAATAGAAAAAGTATGGTGGTCAATGTTCATTTGCGTTGCTTTTCCCAGGCCTTTGTTCTTACAGACATTGTTAGGACCCGTTGATAAAACAAAGAGCGATGTTATTCACGACACTGCAAGGTCCCAGCACCCTTCTAGTGCTGCAGCTTCAGCAAGACACTTTTAAATCGTATTTTACCTGATACTTCGTGAAAACAAAAGTATAGTTACTATATTTCAATTACTTGAAATACTTTTCTGTCTGAGAGAGAGAGGGAGAAATCTTTCTTTTTCACAGGCAACTGAGAATATCTTACCTTGGACCTGAATTGCCAGGTAGCAGACAGCAGTTTTGATGCCACCTTCCCTGTAAGAGTGTTCTGACGTGGACACAGTAATGATCAAGTGCTCCACGTCATAGAGTCTTCCGGGTTTTACACATGCATGATCTCCTTAGAAACTGACAGCCCCGGTGAGGTGGGTAAGGTAAATATCAGCCTTGCTGTTTTACAAGTGAACAAAATATTTCTTTTAAAATGTCATTTACACAACAAATTTCTGTGCACTCTTTCAGCCTCTGGGAGGCTCGAGGAGGAAAGACGGAGCAGAGAATATAAATAGCTTTCTCTGCACAAGGTCAGGGTTGTTTCCCCGAAGCCATTCTCTTCCCCAAGTCAATTGCTGATGAAATTAAAATATTTTAAAAGTGTGTCATTTGGGTCTTATCCCACCACTGCCCCCACCCACCCACACTTACCAATATAGCATGAATGTAGGGGGATTAAATTCCAATTTTTATACTTTAAAGTAGTACAGCGCATGTATCCTGTTGTTTACAGAGATTAGCTTACTTTGTGCCATTTACTGAAGTCTGTGCAAAGCTGTGCAAATCCATTGTTGGAAAATATCTCTCTCTATTTGGGGAGTTGAGTGATGACAGCCCTGGGAAGCTGTCTCTTGAATTAGGTCCCGGTTCTGTCCTGAAGTCTTAGCAAATAAAGTCATTTTTGTGGGCTCTGCTCAACCATTTCCACAGTTTGGGTTGGTTTCATCATGCCTGCTGAGTTTCATTTTTACTTTGATTCATCTGAACTCATAGACCCATATAATCAAAATGCTAAAGAAAATCAGTGAGTTCAACTCATGTCTGCTGCATTTCCTGTGTAGTTCTGTAAAATGCTTATGCCCTTATGTTTTTTTTGTTTTTCAAATATGTTCAAATGAAACCTCACTTCTAAATGAAACTGAAAGTGTTACTGGTGATGGATGGTTAGCTAACAAAAAA